GATAACTTTTTAAGATGTATGCGGTAAAAAGCAATCTTTGTGATCAACTGCTTGTTTTCACCATTCAAACTCATTTAAGTATCAGATCGATAGGTATAATTTTTATATTAGGTACAGACAGATGTTTTTGGTGTTCACTACTACAGTGTTGAGTATTTGACTTATTACCGTTAAGATCACTGATACAACTATGCAAAATTGAAGACAATGAATAAAAAAGAAAATTAATCGCTAGTTTGAGCATCATTTCACTTTTATTTAGTTCTAGCTCAATATTCATCAAATGAATTTTTTAGTTTTGTTAGTAACGATAACTTTTCATGGTATCAGATGTAATGAATCCTAACTTTTCAATAGGGCCTGTGTAGAAAAACACTAATGAAATAAATATATCTATATTGCAAAAACAGCTTGCTTGATTGCATTGGTGTCTTCGAGAAAGTTGTGCAAAATTAAAATGCAATTCTTGAAAAAATATACACGGTTGAAAAACATGTGTTTTTAATGTAAATATAAAAATCGTAAAATTTTCAAAAAATCATAACTTTTTTGTTTTTGAGTTTACCATCACCAAACTTTGCCAGTTTGTAGCAAATATTATGAGCTTCAATGAGGCTTAAAACGAAAATTACTATCACTTCACGCAGTTTCCTATGAGGTTTTCGGAGGTTTGTTATAAAGAGAGTTGAAAACACTCTTTTATGACATCTCATAAATTAAAGCAACTGAAAAGGTGCAAGATGTCTTATAAGTAGTTGAAAATACTTTTAGATAATACTCTGGCAATCAAATGTACGCATTGCTGCTTACCAAACTTCTTAATGACGGATCGAAGCAGGCGTGTTACACAAGAATATAATTTTCATGCCATTGGCAAGAACATGAACTTATAATAAAACTTTTATCAAGCGGAGTTGGTCTAGTTAGGAAGTAATAAGTCTTTCACGCCAAGGACCTGTGTTCGAATCCCATGCTCAGTTTTTTTTTGCCGCTGGTTTTTATGATGTTTTCAAAATATGTTATAAGACCAGTATTTAGTTTTATAAGCTCCGCGTCTTGCGCTTTTTGGTTGTATAAATGTATTAAATTATGTAAATTAAAGTATTATTTATTCTATACATAAGTCATTGAAAAGTATTTTCAACTTCATTATGACAAGCCGTGTTGCTTGGGTACCCTCATTTAACGTTAAACGTAACCCTAGCAGCACACTTTTCGCAAACGGCAACTCCTATGTGATTTATTCCGGTTACAATCAAGTTGCCTCAACCTTTAGAGACGGAAGTGTATTCCTCGGGAAATTATGCTTAGTGGGACTAATACACATTACAACCTGATTGTAAAACTCAATTTTGTGACTTGTTTTGGACACGGTATCTCTGTTCGAAACATAATTAACAGTCAGAGTACTAAGGATGCAAAGCGCGTGACGATGCTGTGAACAAGCATGGTTCTCAATAACGGGACAGTCATGCAGTGTTGCAGCATCGTCATGCATTTTGCTCCCTAGGTCTTCTGACTGATTAAATAAATAGTACCGTAAGACGGGGTGACATTGAAACTAGGAAGTCACATTGGGCCAAAATTGAAAAATGTTTATTGATGCAAATATCTTGAATATACAGAAAATGATGTCTAGTATATGTTTCTTGAGCTTCTGAGGTAAAGTGTAGAGAACATTAACTAGTTGTTTTATTTAATTTGTGCTGTAAAGTAAAGTGTCATAAATAGTAGTAGATTTTTTTAAATGTCCACAGGCAAACAAATGTTTGAACACACTTTTAAGAAAATAGACGAAGGCTACAAGCGATCTTTAACCATACATACGAAGTACATTGTGATCATGACCAAGTGTACTCCTAATAGCTACGATAAATTTACATATTTTAAGTTATGTTAAGAAATTTTAATTAAATTTATGTGTTGGCCCAATGTCAGCCGCCATAAGGTTTTACATTGGTCTATTTTTTAATTAATTTTAGTAAAATGAGCTTTCAATTTCAATCAACCATTTCCATGACAGTCGTAAATATATCATAAATGAATATATTCACATGCTTAACATTGTTTTCCTTGCTAAAATGTGAACGTTGTTAGGTAGGGAACGATTTTTTTTTTTTTTTTTTGGCCCAATGTCACCTCCACTTACGGTATCACTGAAACACTTACCAAACAAAATCTTAGACTATCCCATTTAATTTTAAGGGTAGTGTCAAAATGTTCCCCGAAATTACATTTGAACACTACCCTGAAATGAAAGGGGATAACTTAAGGCTTCGTTGGATGTGTGGCTCAGAGATACTGATTTTTTTTTTATTATCCTGAAATATTTTATTTGATGATGAAAATGTGTGTCAACCTGTTTGCCAATCGATTTAAATACATGCGATTTTTGTGTGACTTACACACCTACACACTTGCTAACGACTACGTCGGAGCTGTCCTCAAACGAAGCAATTAATTTTGCTGATGTTACAATGAACAGCTAATATATAAAACTAATTCAAATATTCCCGGAAATTTCTTCCGACTTTACTACTTCGTTCTTAGTCCAAAAGTTTGAATTTTTGCCTACAAAAAGGCAAAAATATAAAATTAATGAAAATAGTGAATACCGATAAATACCGAGTTTTTAAGTATTTGATACCGATAAGCTTGAAATAATCTGGCAAACGCTGGGATGAATAAAACCTCACTTGAGTTTGTTGCTAAGACGTGTTTATTATTTACTCTACTATTTCCCGTCTAACAGTCACGCACATCACGGTTAACCTAAAAATCATAAAACAAAATCTTATCCAACATCTAGACAAAAGAAGTTCTAATTTTCCCCTTTCAAAACAATACCCTAATCACGCCTCGTACTGCAAAGAAAATGCTAGCTAAGTTCGATTATAACGCTATGCATCATTAACCCCTATTCTAAAATCAACAACAGGTCCACCTAGGTGGGAAAACACCGAACTTAAATTAATCCCTCATTGAATTAATGCGAAAAATCGCCGCGAAAACATGTCATCGTTCAATTCAGTTGACCATTTCGGTACCGGCTTGGCTCCGTGCAGATAATCCATCCTTTTGTCCCAGTCCACTCGCATAATCGATCCCGTGAGAGCAACCCATAAGCATTCCGCTGATTTGCAGCAGCATAAAGTGGACGAAAGCCCGGATCTTTGTTATCATACGCCACATACAGCAAAACAACCTCCCACATCACGTTGGGTCGAACAAGCAGCCAAAATGTACCCATCCTAAACACTGTGCATAGCGCCAAGTCACCCATCATTTGCATATCACGTATATACAGAGCGTCAATACCTAGTCGTTTAGCCGGATGCCCGGAGAGATGTCATCTCGATTTCATAACGAGCAGCGCCGCGCCATCATTATGAATTGCATTCACATTCACGGCCATGTGCTGTTGCGCTGTCCCACCCGTAGTGAGTCCTGCATCATCCATCGTGTTCGTATCGCAACATCCGGTGTCGCTCCATCCCACACCGCTACTGCCTGCGTTGCGTCGAATGCCGAGTCAAAGCCATCGAATGACATTTATCGGCCCCGAGCCATACACCATCAACGTCTATAATTTTTGGGAGAAGATTAACAGAGCACGGCTGATCAAAATGTTCAAAACAGGTTCGATTAGCATTGAATCCACCGGTGTGACCGAGAGACGGAAATTGAAAATGATGTAGATTTGAAACAAATGATGGCGGAGCGCCAGGTCACCCCACCGTCGAAAAAAATATTTGAAAATATATTCCGCCCTGTTGTGAGACGGTTTGGCTATTTGAATAATAAAATCGTATAATTCATACACCGTTTGGCAGACCAGCCGGCGGAAAATACATTCCAGATCAAACCGCTGCTGGAATTTATTACCATCGGACATGCACTCCGGAATTGACGCCACGGTCGATGACTGAAGTGCAGTGGTCCTTGGAGGCTTGCTGCTGAATATATTAATGAAACCCGATCGCTTTCATGGGAAAAGAGTCCCGCAGAAATCTATATATCCTATTACCCCTTGGCACTGTTAAAATCCCATGGCTCATCGGACGATTCCATTAGGCGTCGTTCTCTTCTTCGTCTCGAATAGGATCAGCGTAGTTCGCCTGCTGGTTGTTTGAGAAATTTATCCTGCATCATTGCACATTCATCCCCAATCACACCCCAGCCACAAGTCTGACTCTGCGTGTGCCCATCACCAGTGATGCGCATCGTGTGATGCTTTTGCACCGTTATTTATCTCGATTCCTGACGAATTTCTATAACCATCAAATAAATATGTTCCGAACGGAATCAGGTTCAAGCACGGGAAAAATTCAGCCCGAACGGTTCATTTACGTACTGAAACTTGTGTAATAGTTTGCCTCGCAGCAGCGGCAGCAGCCATGGATTATCAAAAAGCATTTTGAAATTTACATCACGTAAAAGCGGTCCTGTCTGCCTGCATGCATAAGCGATGGCAGTTCCATAAATTATTGATTTCAAATGTTCTTGGCGTGCAGTGAATACGGGAAGGGGTGCCGGTGGTAAAGAGTACTAAAAGTAATACTATAATACCAGCACAAAGAAAAGCACGGCTCTCGTTTTGCATCGCAGAGCATCATCACTCACCACCATCGTTCGATTCGATTCAATTCGCATCGCACAATTGACTGCAACAAGCTGATTGCAGCGTATAATTCTGGCTCAAAGGGATCGCTGCTGAATTGATGGGTTGCATTCGAGTCGTGTTGGTACTTTTGGGGCATATCATAAATGGGAATCGTAATTTCAGTGCGCGGCTTGCACAGTTCAAAGAGAATTTCAATTGCATGTATTTTCGATCGGTTATGATAAGAACGTTCATTTTGTGTCACATTGTAGAACGTTGAAAGTTGTATAAATTTGTATTCAAGACGAGGGGCGTTCTTTCAACTCCGTTTCAAAAAGTCCAAGATTAGATAGTTATTACTATTTTTATTATTTTCCTAAAAACGCTACACATGTCTTTCGGTATTCCTTAATCCCAGCTCTGGTATAAAGCGAGAAAGACACTTCAAAATAACAAAAAAAAAAACTTTGAGAGAGTAGAAAATTAACCTTCTTTTAGCTATAAATAACGTTCACTGATCACGTGTCTCGCGACTTACGCAAGCGAAGCCCAACCCAGTACAGAATCTTTTTTCACTACGAACACATAAAACCTTCATTTGAAAACAGGTAGGCGAAACAAAACACTACAGAAACCCAATCATCAGGAAAATAGTACATCAATTGCACTTACCTCACAGACAACAACCACTTAGGGATAAAGATAGTATAGTTTCGTTATGGCTAGTGATCGCTCTGAGAAGAGAATCTACTCCGCTTCTGCGCTCGCTTCCGCAGTGGAGCTAGTAATTTTGGCTGCATGTTCCGCCCGTCTCTCTTGGATCCAGGTGTCAATTTTCGTCTTCAGTTCAACGTCCCGCTTGACCTGGTCCATCGTCAGCGGCGATCGGTTGAACGGATCGGACTGATCGGACAGCAAATGCCGGGCGATGGTGGATCGGTCGACGGTGATTCGGGAACTGGGCAGAATGACCGGGTCCATCATCAGCGCAGACATGATCGGGTCCAGGAACTCGTCCGGTGGATCCATCAGGGCCTCTTCGTCGATTTTCTGCTGCTTTTCCAGCTGCAGGACGCGGGCGGCGAATTCTTGGATTTCGCCAATCAGTTGGCCTCCACCGATGCGGGCTGGTAAGAGAAGAGAGTGAAAGGTGTTATTAGGTACACACTTTAAAATAATTCTCGAGGTCGGCAATACATATAGCCGAGCTAGCACGGCATAGTTATAATTTACTGAGAATTCAGCACTGCTGCAAACGGAAATTTCGGCTTATTTCATGTTTTTTTCCAGAAACTCGGCAACACTGGATTCAAGGAGTGCAGTTTCGAACCCCTTCGGATACGGTTATGTTTTAAGTTTGCTCTCTGTTTTGTGCGTGCGTTCCCTTTCATAGTTTTTGACTGCATTTGTCGGATTAGCGCTGGCACTCTGCCTTCCGGACGGCTATACCAACAATCAATACGAAACTATCAATTTGAAATTGGCTCACTACTTGACTAGCCTATTGGTCCCAAGCAAACGATTAACGTACCTCATTCTAGTTGAAATTCTAGTACTACACTTTGTTTGTTTTGATTCTCTATGAAAGTTTAACAGATAAAATGAGGGGTTCGTGGATTTTCCTTCCTATGTTTCGTGGGGTGCATCGATTAGCTTGGGACCGAAGATAGTACCAGAGTTGAGCCAAAAAGTTGAGCACGTTTCTTCGGGACCTTCTAGTCTTAGAGTTACCTCCATGGTTATACTATAGTCGCTATATTCATAGCACAAACGATGTGTCAGATGGAGCGGCTCGAAAACTTTGGTGACTAACCTGCTATTGCAATTTTTCAGTGTACCACATGGCAACACCACTACTACTGGATTGAACCACATGGCAACACTACTACTGGATTGAACTAGCATTTTCACCAAATGTACTAGAATGTTTTGGTTCTATCTCTTTCACTCTACTCAAAACTGAAATGCATAAAAAAAAAATGACAAAATGATACGCACTCTTTGCACACTGTCAAAGAATCATTGTACACAAAATCAACTTTGTTCAAATCAAAACAAAAAAACTAACCCATCTGGTGGATGATGGCATAAGCTTCCAAGAAAATTCTATTACAGTGAACCACATTATTTAAATGGATTTCTTCGCCAGTTAGTCGTCTGTCACTTCGTTTGTGTTCATAGTCTGGCGGATAGAATCTCGGGAATCAATTGAGCTGTCAAATAGCGTAACCAATCGAGCAAATCACGACCAACAACAGAAAAGGGCACATCTGCTATTGCAAAGAAAATTTTGGAAACCCTTTTCTCGTGACTCAAGGCTCGCCTACACAAACTAACGCCATCTTTAGGTTGTGGAAAGTTTCCCCAAACCGATGATGCTGGTAATTTACACACTTAGAAAATATTACCGAACTCGGTTTGATTTCAACCGAGTTTTTATCTGCTGAACGCTCGGTAGTCTGTTCGGTTCAAAGAAGAATAACCGAGCTGTCGTTAGTTCTTTTTGCTACCCACAATCTGTCAAAGTTACCAAAAATCTCGGTTGACGAAAAATAAATTTAAGCAGAAATAACCGAACATCGGTTTACTCAAGAATTACCGAACGCTGTCAAACAAACCGACACACCTGTTGTAATTACGGAATTCGGTTCTCTTGGGCAGCGCTCGGTTTTCACTTCAAATCTTGCTTTAAATTTTGATTAAGGATACGTTGCTTCGAATTTTCATAAAAATAAAACCAGTTTTGTCAAAGAAATGTATGATATATATTTATTTAATTTGTTTTGGCGAATAAAAACTTCCGTAACGCGAGTTATAGCGTGAAAAAGTACAGCCAAAAAAATATCACTGACTTTGAAGTCATTCTTATTCAAATGGCTTTTAAAATGCCTTTGCATCCTCCTGTTGCAGCTTGTAGGGTATAACACATTATTACATTTAACAATTTAGGTAAATTATAACATAGTTTATATAATTCCAGATGAGCGTACACATGACAGAAGAACGACAGCGGAAAAGCGGAGAACGACGAAGAGGAGGAAGACGGTAGGAAAGGAGGATGGTTGTGTAAATCTCGAGAAGTAATCTTGATCTGGAAAAAAACCGTAATACTAAAATATATCCCGGTATTATTTACTATAATTGACGACGAGGAGGAGGAGAAAAACGGAACCGACGAAGGTGAATGTGAAATTTAATTTAATTGTTCTTTGCACTAAGATCGACGGTATGTACTGGAGGGTGGTATATGTTTTATGCTGGTTAGTCCAGTGAGGTGATATGAAGCCTCGAATGAAATTAAAATTTTCACTTGGAAACATAAACAAAGTGAATTCGCTGGTTTTCTCATAGGAAGAGATTGTGTCATTAATTCAAGATTATATGATCTAGTGCTAGAGTGCCTAAGTATGCCGTAACAAATAGAGCTAGAGTGCCTTAAAATTGGTTGTGTATCATTGTTACTAGATTTTAGTGCTAGAGCGCATAGAATCAAACTTTCTAATATTTGGTGCTAGAGTGCCTAAATATGAAATATCTTCTAGAGCTTGAGTGCTTAGAAACAAGTTGAATCTAGATTCGAATTGCATAAAGGGCGAACACGAAATTATTGCGACACCGAAAATGTCATGCCAATTTTCTTATAATGTTAAGAATCAAACCAAAATTTTATACATATATTTACTTCAAAAATCAAAAGAAAAGTTAATCGATGGAGCCTTGAGTGTAAAATTGAACGCATTTTCGCTTGATGCCCTCCATCAAAGTCTTTACAGTGTCATCCGGTACCAGTTTCTCAGTTTTTTTTTCATTTTCTTAACATGTCCTTCTCGTCTTTGACTGTCTTCTTGCTCTTCCAAAGTTCCCGCTTCATTATTGCCCAAAATAGCGGAGCTTCGTCGTGCTGCTGCAAGAACGGCAAAAGGCGCTTCTCGAGGCACTCAGATTTGTAGATCTCGCCATTTACTGTGCCCTTTGTCACGAAAGGCTCACTCCTCAGTCCGCAAGAGCAGATGGCCTGCCAAATGAGATATTTGGAGGCGAACTTCGACATTTTCTTCTTCTTAAATTTGTCGTCCACATCGAACTTGCTCTTGCCGGTGAAAAACTCCAACCCCGGAATTTGCTTAAAATCGGCTTTTATATACGTTTCGTCGTCCATCACACAGCAGCCATATTTTGTCAGCATCTTCTCGAAGAGCTTCCGTGCCCGAGTTTTAGCTCATCGCGGTTTGGGAAGTTCTGTACCTTGTATGTATGTAGTCCAGCTCTCTTCTTTGCATTCTGGACGTAGCTCTGCGACATGCCGATCCTTTTAGCCAAATCACGGCTTGAGACGGTGGGATTTGCTTTAATCATCCGCTTCACCTTTCCCTCCGTCTTTTTGTTCTCCGGTCCCAGTTTTCTTCCAGCTCCTTTGCCGTGGTCCAACGTCAACCGCTCCTGGAACCGCTTCAACACTCTGGAAACGGTTGAATGGTGAATGTTCAACATTTTTCCCAACTGCCGGTGCGACAGGTCAGGAAATTCCAGGTGTTTGGAAAGAATTTGTTCTCTCAACTCGCGTTGGTTCACCTCCATTTTCGTTGAATCGAAAAACACGACTTCGAGTTTGACAGCATGTACACAATACACATCAATGAGAAAGTGTGCAAAATTTGGTTGATTTTTACCCAATGGTAAAAAAAGTTATGCCCTGTTGAATGTGTCGCAATAATTTCGTGTTCGCCCTTTATGCTAGTACTAGTGCTAAAGTGCCTAATAGGAATTGAAGAAGAGAAAATAAAATGGCAGTGTTTTTCGTAATTTAGACGGCATTTATCTGATTATGATCTCGTTTTTCAGATGGATGAAAGTCGCCCTCTACCAATGTTCAGGTGTGAACAGATTGAGAGTGCAAAATTGGCTAAAGAATGGCAGGAATGGAAGAAGTCTCTTCAGTGTTACTTCGATTCGTATGAAATTACCGTTCAAAAAACTATGCGGGCCAAAATGCTGCACCTAGGCGGACCACAACTTCAGAAGGTCTTCAGAAGTCTAGAAGGTACGGAGGAGTTTCCGATGGTTCTAATTGAAAAAAAACCTTGGTACGATGTGGCAGTTGAGCGATTGGACGCATATTTCAAACCGCGCAAGCAAGACGTGCTCGAGAGACACAAATTGCGCAATATGAAGCAAGATGCTACCGAACGTTTTGCCCATTTTGTCTTGCGTTTGCGGCAGTAATTGATGGATTGTGGCCTGGAGAAATATTCCAGTGAGGTTAAAAAGGTAATGGAAGAGACCATGCTAATCGATGTAATTGTCGAAGGGTGCGCTTCTTCAGAGCTTCGCCGGAAGATACTGGAACAAGATCAGTCCCTCTCAGAGATCGAAGTTATGGGTGAATTAGTGTTCACATCCAAGAGAAAGAGCTGAATAATGGGAGTCAACCGGTTCCAGGTAATCCGTTGGAAGTTCACAAGATTCGAGATCAAGGTCAAGGGAAAAAATTTCGCAAGCAAAGTCGTTTCATCAAACGTTTTGGCTCAACCGACCCGAACGGTGGTGGTAAAGAAAACAGCATGATGTGTTTTGCTTGTGGACGTTATGGTCATATTTCCAACGCGTCCTCGTATCCGGCAAAGGGACAGATTTGCCACAAGTGCCAGAGACCCAATCATTTTGCGAAGTTTTGCCGAAAACGCCAAGTCATTCCAACTACACAGATACCGAACAAAATCCGAGCTGTTACCGATGTCACTCCATCAAGCCCCGGTGAGGACGACTCGTCTACCGACTGTTCGGAAAAGGTGTACTATACCTTTTACACCGGAAACGATACGAATGTGATAAATTGTCAGATAGGAGGTGTTGCTATGGACATGTTCGTCGATTCGGGATCGGATGCGAATCTAATCACTGTTAAAACGTGAGATGTTCTCAAGGACAATAAAGTTACCATTCGAGAATGCACTAGAGGAAGCACCAGAATATTGAAGGCGTACGGCAGCGATACTGCGTTAGAGATTATGGGGACGTTCAAGGCCATTGTAAAAGTAGGATCTCGTTCAGCCGAAGCGGAGTTTTTCGTAGTACCGAGTGGACAACGCAGCTTGTTGGGTGATGCTACTTCAAAGCAACTCGGTGT